AATTTTCTTTCTTTTTTCTTTTTTTATGTTCTTTTTTTTCTTTTTCGGTGCACGTGGCGGGGTTTGCACATAGCGAGTTCGATCCCCAGAGAGGATCTTGTTTTAATTTTCTCTTTAGCAGTCGCTGTTTTGCTTTTAACACTCAAAAACTAATTGTTCAAGTCCCGACGTATGAGTTTTTTTAAATTTCTTTTTAACATCCGCTGTTTTCCTTTTTTTATCAGATGTGTTTTCTTCTTTAAGTGGTCTCGTACAAATTTCATCAACTTGGGTAATATCATTTCAACAACTTCTACCTCAATAACGGCAGTAAGACCTTCGTCAGCTGAAATGTCAGCTTTTTTTAAAAGCACTTGTTATCCTTTGAAATGAGATGCTGAAGAGCAATTCTCTGCACCAGCCTTCGGGACCGCATCCAAAATGTAGAAATTCATTGAAAACTTGGCAGAACAAACCATTATTACGTGTTAGAAGGCTTAGATAGTTTGAATATGTGATGAGAAAACCTTAGTTCATACGGCATACCACCAGGAGTTAAAAACCCAGACCACCCAAGAGGTGAAAAGACTAGTCTAGTTATTACAAACGGACACAGGGATCACACTAACGGAATCTGAGACTATGGCCTTCAATAGAACTGTGTGGAGAAACCAGATGAGGGAGAGCAAGGGGCAATATCCTGGCCTGAGCACGTAGGCAGGTAGATAGGACACCCAAATGTATCAGGGGATCACGCCATTTCTACCAGAAAATCCACAATAGGGGAGTCATAATTATGTTTAGTTTACATGTATATCCATTCCATAGGGCCATGTACACAAAATATTTCCAGTATAAACTTCGGGATACACTTAGACCCCAATCATACAAGTTTAGCATATCCTGCTAGATTCTTTAGCGGGATTTAGCCTGGTGTGGACGCAAAATATTCTGCTCTGTATGAGTCCAGATTCGCAAAGTCCCCTTTCCAATGTGGTAAGAACCGGACAGCATGTGTAAACAAACCCAAGTAAACTGCTTGTATAGATTGCCGTGCGTATCCTATTTTCTTAGGATGGATACTGCCACATATAACTTTTATGAATATAAAGGTTCTTCTCAGCTTTCCATTGTGACGATAATAAGTCAGTACACGGGACGTTCCAACAGTGGGAAATCTTGTACACTTCGCGTGTCCCATTGTGTGCGCGAGTTTTCGACATTGAACAAAGAGAACTTTATTGCACGACAATTGTAACGGGCACAACGTCTGGCAAAGTTACAAAGTTGGTGATGCTAAATTAACAATATTTAACATTCTAAGAGTTGACCGTTCTAACTTTTCTAAGAAGCTGACCTACTTTAATATATAACAATAAAAACACTAATGATACTAATCTAATTCTTCTGACAATAATATGGTATTGCATAAGGAATAAATTACATTATCTCGTTTGGCAGCGAATTGTATATAAATTGGCCCACATAAGTGGATATATTGACAGGGCATGATAATAGTATATTGAATATCTGTCTTTGTATGAGGTAGCGTTATATCGCTCTTACATGCAATATACTGCAATACCTTTGAGTGTCTACATCCTAAGTTCGACAATCTAAAATAGAATTCGTTTTCAACGTCTTTATGGCATGTTGGACACAGTCTCTCATTAGCTGGTGTGTTACAGTAGCTACATTTTTTTTCAATTTACAGAGAGTAGGCACTAATCCTAAGTTTTGTTATGCTGTTTGAATGATTTGTTTCGGATTGATAAGAGATAGTTTTTCGGACAGAATTGTGTTTTGATTTTGCAGTACGTATTGAGTTTGGTACTTTGGTTTCTCGAGTGTACGACAAGGACGCGTCAGGTTTCACCAACGTGTCCAAGCTTGGAAACCTGAGGAAATCTGACTTTTCAAACAGTGCTGCGTTTTATGATGTCAGACGACCTCTGAACTTGACTTATATATACTTTTAGAGTTTTTATGCCCAAATTACATTTCTTTAAGCCCACTTCAGGCGAAACGTAATATTCCGAGTTTGAAACCTGATCGGATTAAGGCTCCTTGCTATCACGGTCTTCTTTTCTTTGGTTGGTGTGCAGAGATAGCCTAGTAAGTACTCCACACGTGTTTGTAGCACTTTTTATAACTGCTCGCTCCTAGGTACGACAGCATCAACAAGATAGTGTTTTGCTTACGTGTGAGAATTCAGTGTTTCACACATTTGAGTGGCGTTGTGCTTAATAATAGGCCATTCACGGCGAAATAGTGAAGAGTTTGATGTCGGACAAGTTTGATTCGGGAAGTGACAACTCTGGTCTATCATTCAAGGTCAAAATCTGACGTATTCTTCCTTCACTTTAAAGCGACGACAAAACGCGACCCATGCTTTTTGCCCAGGGGAACCGGTGACGTTACTGCGTGACGTCATCGATACCAACTTTTAAGAACGCTTATGCAAGTATGCGGCATGTGTATGTGGCTATCATAAACAACTGAGCACTACTTTCTACATTGTAAACTTAATTCCAGTCAAAGAAGTACTCTGTTATCATCTCTCTCCAACATAGTAGAGATGCAGCATCTCAATGACAGTTCCTTATGTTCCTCACTACGTCGAAGGTCCACATCACTCTCACACCTACTAAACCGTAATGTTTTTGATGTAGTTCAAAACTTCATCTACTGTACGGGCAGATTCTTGTAATTGATGAGTCACCAACTTGTCTTGTATTTATCTTGGTTTTATCCATCTTGTAATTATGCATGTATCTTGCAATTGTCAATGTGTTTTATACTCGTTGTATGTTTTTGAGTAAAATGTGTTGTATAAGCAACTTTTATATATATAAATTTATATAAATATATGTGAATAAATAAAAAAAAAGGATGCGGCAGCGAAACCATAAAAACAACACATATCCATAGCTAAATTCCAGAGCAGATTTTCTTTCCATTATATATAACTGTTTTGAGAAAATCGATGTCTGAAAATACAGTAGATTTCTACTTGCTCCATCGTGACGCTGCCTGGTCCGAGACCGGAAGGTTCCGGGTAGGAGTTTAAATCTGACCAGGTTTCTAAATAGTGGCAGTAAATCGCCATAATTGGCACGTCATATTTCACTTCCTATTGCCAGGCGATCGTTATAAATGAACAAATAGTTTTTCAAAGTACGAAAATAGATAATAATTTAAGACGTGACACGATTGTTTGGAAAAATCTGTTTTTTATACTCTGGTTATTTCCTCCACCTTAGGAGACCCCGGCTCCAGTAACATCAGTGAGCCATTCCTATTGGTAGCTGACAGGGATGGAGAAATCATTCTCCAAGTTAACATCACTTCCGGATCGACCACCACGCTTCCGCTCGGAGATGTAGGAGTGCCCGACGCCCTGGACTACGACCCGCTCACGGACTACGTGTACTGGGCAGATAACCGGAACCAGAAAATCCACCGGGCTCGTCGTGATGGAAGTGGCAGGGAGACCATCTTAGACATCACCGGTGAGTTAAAATATCATATTATCATGTTTTGATGGCAATTGGAGACAACTATTGCAAAACGCAACATTACATGATAATGTATGGTCTTACAAAGAAGATACGTAACAGAATAGTCCTCAAGCAGATGTAAGGACCCGGCTAATTTTCTCATTGTCTGGGTTCACGTTACGTGAACACACTATGTCGTTTACCTGTCTGCATAACTAGGACGGCACGCAAGCACACAGACACAGACACAGACACACACACACACACACACACACACACACACACACACACACATTGCCGTTCATCTGTCTGCATGACGAGGACCGCACGCAAACACACAGACACAGACACACACTCACACACACGCACACACACACACACACACACACACACACACACACACACTTCACACACACACACACACACACACACACTTTGTCATTCATCTGTCTGCATGACGAGGACCGCATACGGAGCGCCGACGGGGTCAAAAGGCGCGTAGAGATAAAACGTCGCGCGCAGAGATAAACGTCACGCGCGGAGAAGAAAAAGAGGGAGAGAGAAACGTGTTGAAAAATGTGTCTTAGATCACAATATTTTCTTAAAAATAGTGTTAATGGCGAGTGCTTCTAATTGTAGCAATTATCCCTATCCATTAACACTGTCAGATGAGACTTGACTTTAGAATCTCGGAACCACGTTTAAAATTGTGCACTGCCTCATTCGTCCCACACATATACGTTGTTACTTACTGACGTGTTTCCATACACAGTTGTTATTTTCATTTTGCACCACTATTCTAAACCTGACCACATTAATTAGAGACACGCTGTTCGAATTCCTGCACCAGACGAATATGATATGCGTTCCCTTTTATTTAGGCATACCAGAAAAATACAGTTTTTCCCAACCTTTCTTTAACCTTGAAAGATTACAAATACTGTTCGGTCCTTGCCTCTTTTCAACAGTTCGAAGTTAGAATATGACGGTCGGGAAAAGTCACGCTGTTTGCAACATATTTTAGATTGTCAAAATTGTCTTCAATAAAAGTTAGTCTTTGAAACTATTCATAATTTACTCCGTCTTTCTTTTCTTTCACTCGCCATATTTTCTACCAGTATACCCCCGTCTTTCTTTCCTTTGTCCAAACATATTTTCTATCCTTTATTTTCCTTTCCTCTCTCCTGACATATTTCCTCTCTCGGTCTTTCTTTCCTATCTCCTGACATATTTCCTATCCCCGTCTTTCTTTCCTCTCTCCTGAATATTTGCTATCTTCGTCTTTCTTTCCTCTCTCCGTCTTTCTTTCCTCTCTCCGTCTTTCTTTCCTCTCTCCGTCTTTCTTTCCTCTCTCCGTCTTTCTTTTCTCTCTCCGCCATATTTCCTATCTCCGTCTGTCTTTTCTCTCTCCGTCTTCTTTCCTATCTCTGTTTTACTTTTCTCTCTCCTGACATCTTTCCTCTCTCCGTTTTACTTTCCTCTCTCCGTCTTTCTTTCCTCTCTCCGTCTTTCTTTTTTATCTCCGTCTTTCTTTCCTCTCTCCGTCTTTCTTTATTCTCTCCGTTTTACTTTTCTCTCTCCTGACATATTTCCTCTCTCCGTCTTTCTTTCCTCTCTACGTCTTTCTTTCCTCTCTCCGTCTTTCTTTCCTCTCTCTGTTTTACTTTTCTCTCTCCTGACATATTTCCTCTCTCCGTCTTTCTTTCCTCTCTCCGTCTTTCCTTTCTCTCTCCGTCCTTTTTTCCTCTCTCCGTCTTTCTTTCCTCTCTCCGTTTTACTTTTCTCTCTCTTGACATATTTCCTATCTCCGTCTGTCTTTTCTCTCTCCGGCTTTCTTTCCTCTCTCTGTTTTACTTTTCTCTCTCCTGACATATCTTCCTCTCTCCGTCTGTCTTTCCTCTCTCCATCTTTCATTCGTCTCTCCGTCTGTCTTTCCTCTGTCCCAATTTCTTTCCTCTCTCCGTCTTTCCTTCCTCTCTCCGTTTTACTTTTCTCTCTCCTAACAAATTTCCTCTCTCCGTCTTTCTTTCCTCTCACCGTCTTTCTTTCCTCTCTCCTGGCATATTTCCTACCTCCGTCTGTCTTTCCTCTCTCCGTCTTTCTTTCCTCTCTCCGTCTTACCTTCCTCTCTCCTGACATATTTTCTATCTCCGTCTTTCTTTCCTCTCTCCGTCTTTCTTTCCTCTCTCTGTCTTTCTTTCCTTTCTACGCCATATTTCCTATCTCCGTCTGTCTTTCCTTTCTCCGTCTTTCTTTCCTCTCTCCGTCTTTCTTTCCTCTCTCCATCTTACCTTCCTCTCTCCTGACATATTTCCTATCTCCGTCTGTCTCTCCTCTCTTCGTCTTTCTTTCCTCTCTCCGTCTTTCTTTCCTCTCTCCGCCATATTTCCTATCTCCGTCTGTCTTTCCTCTCTCCGTCTATCTTTCCTCTCTCCGCCATATTTTCTATCTCCGTCTGTCTTTCCTCTCACCGTTTGTCTTTCCTCTCTCCGCCATATTTGCTATCTCCGTCTGTCTTTCCTCACTCCGTCTGTCTTTCCTCTCTCCGCCATATTTTCTGTCTCCTTCTTTCTTTCCTTTCTTCCTCTTTCTTTCCTCTCTCCGCCATATTTCCTATCTCCGTCTGTCTTTCCTCTCTCCGTCTTTCTTTCCTCTCTCCGTCTTTCTTTCCTCTCTCTGTCTTTCTTTCCTCTCTCCCACTTATTTCCTATCATCTTTTTTCTTTTCTCTCTTCGTCTTTCTTTCCTCTCTCCGCCATATTTCCTGTCTCCTTCTTTCTTTCCTTTCTTCCTCTTTCTTTCCTCTCTCCGCCATATTTCCTATCTCCGTCTGTCTTTCCTCTCTCCGTCTTTCTTTCCTCTCTCCGTCTTACTTTTCTCTCTCCGCCATATTTCCTATCTCCGTCTGTCTTTTCTCTCTCCGTCTTTCTTTCCTCTCTCCGTCTTTCTTTCCTCTCTCCGTCTTTCTTTCCTCTCTCCGACATATTTCCTATCTCCTTTTTTCTTTCCTATCTCCGTCTGTCTTTTCTCTCTCCGCCATATTTTTTATCTCCGTCTGTCTTTTCTCTCTCCGTCTTTCTTTCCTCTCTCCGTCTTTCTTTCCTCTCTCCGTCTTTCTTTCCTCTCTCCGACATATTTCCTACCCCTTTTTTTCTTTCCTATCTCCGTCTGTCTTTTCTCTCTCCGTCTTTCTTTCCTCTCTCCGTCTTTCTTTCCTCTCTCCGTCTTTCTTTCCTCTCTCCGTCTTTCTTTCCTCTCTCCGACATATTTCCTACCCCTTTTTTTCTTTCCTATCTCCGTCTGTCTTTTCTCTCTCCGTCTTTCTTTCCTCTCTCCGTCTTTCTTTTCTCTCTCCGTCTTTCTTTCCTCTCTCCGACATATTTCCTATCTCCTTTTTTCTTTCCTCTCTCCGTCTTTCTTTCCTCTCTCCGTCTTACTTTCCACTCTCCGACATATTTCCTCTCTCCGTCTGTCTTTCCTCTCTCCGTCTTTCTTTCCTCTCTCCGTCTTTCTTACCTCTCTCCGTCTTTCTTTCCTCTCTCCGTCTTTCTTTCCTATCTCCGTCTGTCTTTCCTCTCTCCTCTTTCTTTCCTCTCTCCGCCATATTTCCTATCTCCGTCTGTCTTTCCTCTCTCCGTCTTTCTTTCCTCTCTCCGCCATATTTCCTCTCTCCGTCTTTCTTTCCTTTCTCCGTCTTTCTTTCCTCTTTCCGCCATATTTCCTATCTCCGTCTGTCTTTCCTCTCTCCGTCTTTCTTTCCTCTCTCCGCCATATTTCCTATCTCCGTCTGTCTTTCCTCTCTCCGTCTTAGTTTTCTCTCTCCGTCTTTCTTTCCTCTCTCCGCCATATTTCCTATCTCCGTCTGTCTTTCCTCTCTCCGACATATTTCCTATCTCCGTCTGTCTTTTCTCTCTCCGTCTTTATTTCCTCTCTCCGTCTTTCTTCCCTCTCTCCGCCATATTTCCTATCTCCGTCTTTCCTCTCTCCGTCTTTCTTACCTCTCTCCGTCTTTCTTTCCTCTCTCCGCCATATTTCCTATCTCCGTCTTTCCTCTCTCAGTCTTTTTTCCTCTCTCCGTCTTTCTTTCCTCTCTCCGTCTTTCTTTCCTCTCTCCAACATATTTCCTCTCTCCGTCTTTCTTTCCTCTCTCCGTCTTTCTTTCCTCTCTCCGCCAAATTTCCTATCTCCGTCTGTCTTTCCTCTCTCCGTCTTTCTTTCCTCTCTCCGTCTTACTTTCCACTCTCCGCCATATTTCCTATCTCCGTCTGTCTTTTCTCTCTCCGTCTTTCTTTCCTCTCTCCGACATATTTCCTATCTCCGTCTTTCTTTCCTCTCTCCGCCTTTCATTCCTCTCTCCGTCTTACTTTCCTCTCTCCGTCTTCCTTTCCTCCCTTCCGCCATATTTCCTATCTCTCTCTTTCTTTCCTATCTCCGTCTTTTTTTCCTGTCTCCGTTTTCTTTCCTCTCTCAGTCTTACTTTCCTCTCTCCTGACATATTTCCTATCTCCGTCTCCGTCCTTCTTTCCTCTCCTGTCCTGACATATTTTCTATGCTCTGTCCTCCTTTCCTCTCTACTGACATATTTCCTACCTCCGTCTTTCTTTCCTCTCTCCTGTCCTGACATATTTTATATCTCCGTCCTTCTTTCCTCTCTTCTGACATTTCCTATCCTCCGTCTTTCTTTCTTCTCTTTTAACATATTTCGTCTGCATGCAAGTTTCTCTTCTCTCCACGCACGCACGTCGGGAGCGCGGAGAGAGAAGTAATAAACCACATGCAAACGCAAGAGAAATGCGAGTGGAAACGTTTAAACTAAGCCTTCACAGTATATGCTATGCCTTCGTGTCGACCTACACGTGAAACGTTTTTCCAACTGACGTTTTGTTACTTTCTTTCTTTTAGTTTCACTGGATTTACATCCTTCCCCGTTTCTAATTAATTTCTCCTCCGCTGCACATTTCTTTTGCGTTTGCATGCGAGTTTCTCTTCTCTCCACGCACGTCGGGAGCGCGCAGAG